CAGGCACCATGATATAGCAAAATCGCGAATCTTCAATGCATATATAAAGAAATATACGGTAACCCGAATTTACCACACTCGCAAAATCGCACACAGCCAACCATACACCTAGTATGGTATCGCGATTCGCGATTTTGCGCTATCATACTGGGTGTATGATCGGCTGTGTGCGATTTTGCGAGTGTGGTAAAATCGCATAACAGCAAAATCGCATAACAGCCGAGCATACACCCAGCAGCGCTGCTGATGCCTGAACGGTATGTGGAATGAAGTGGGTGGGCATCGGGAGGCCACTATGGCACGGGGCAAGCACTATGGGCAGTCTATCTGAAGTGTACCTGGCGTATAAGACAAACCCCCACTTGGAGGCATATTTTTCAGGGCCAAAAAATCGTCTTATACGCCGGCAAATACGGTAACAGAAATCCTAGACAGGGTAAGGGCGCTCTTCCAGACATTTTCTCCGGGTGTTTCCTGAACCTGGAGGCTCTATCTTCCACTTGACAAGTGCCCCCACTCGCCACACCCTCACTCCCTGCGCAGTATGAACTGGTAAGAGGACAAACTCTCTACACGAAAGGCTACTATTTAATAGCTAAAATAAAAACCACTTACTAAGACTTTAGTTTTCATGCTATGACCTCCACCTTGCACAGGATTAGTTAGAATAAAAGTACGGGTTATAAGTCAAACCAAAGACAAGATTCAGTCTTCCTCGGGAGATCCTGCAAAACGGGCTAAGTGGTCTGTCTGACTGTCAATAGCTCTAATCCTGTAAAGACCAAAACTCAATTTCACTTGATGCCTGCTACTTAACCAAAATATTTTAAAAAGGCCTTATTGTAATCAATTCTCTATTTTACTCCTGCTCATTTCTTTTAATAATGAACTACTATATTTAGAATTTTAATTTAACACAGCAATAAAAGTAGCTGGTTGGGCTGGTCAAATTAGACAATGGAAAGACATTTTTCTATGAAACCTTAAATGGCTGAGCACTAAATGCACATTAATATTAACTTAGTAGTGCTAGTCAATTCCCACCTGCAATGCTTGTTATTACTGAAGGGGGAAAACTGCTATAAACCAAGTAAGTAAAAAACAAACACAAAACAATAATTTGCTTGTATTTACTAGTAGTTTCGAAGGTTTTCTTCTTCAGCAACGGTATTTTTCCCTGACGCGCTAGTTTATATTTGCCTTGCTTAGAGTTTTAAATTTAATTTGTACACACTGATTACACACGATGTGACAAGTGTTTTGAAAGTCAGAGAACTAGAATCATATAAGTATCCCTAAGATGGACAATTGAGATTTAAATGGCAATTTTCATATTAATTAGGCAGTTTCTTCCTTTAGTTTCTCAGGGAAAAAATTAATTCCTTGCTCATGCTATTGGAAGTTAAAATGAACAAGTAGAGCCCTAGCTGGTTTGGCTCAGTGGATAGAGCGTCAGCCTGCGGACTGAAGGGTCCCAGGTTCGATTCAGGTCAAGGGCATGTACCTGGGTTGCGGGCACATTCCCAGTAGGGGGCGTGCAAGAGGCAGCTGAACCGATTTTTCTCTCTCATCGATGTTTCTAACTATCCCTCTCCCTTCCTCTCTGTAAAAAATCAATAAAATATATTTTAAAAAATGAACAAGTAGAAACTTACATGACAAGACAAATGATAGGGATACTCTAAGTAATTTCACTATTTCATTTACAATATTCACATTCAAAAATCCATGCATCCCTTGACTACTCCTTAGTTTGATATGTCTGTAGGCTCAACTAAACAGCTTACCTTACGTTGTTATCTTAGCTACTCCTCAGGGCACACTGAACGGTCCATGTCTGACAAGGAAGTTTGTCATAAAAAATGGAAGCATCCGTGTCAGATATGCCTGGTAAATAGCCTGCCTTCCAAAATACCCAGTAACTAAGCAAAACCAAAGCCAAGCTCAAGGCTTAGGATCAGGGCGTTATAATTATATTAGACAATGACAGATACAATGTCCACTCTACGGGAAGTTGGAACTTTGGAGAAATACTGCTTTTGGTAACAGAAAGCTAAAATCCACTGGAGAGGATTATCTGAGAGAGCCATTTATTCCGGTGGCAATCAGTAAATGGAATGTAAGAGAAAAGATAACAACAGCTCAACTATGTGATTTTGCATTATTGAGATGAAATTAACACTAAGTACATTTTTTTCTTCCAGATGTCAACATCCCTAAAAGGACATAAAATCTTTTTTAACAGCAACCAGCTCTGTAAGTATTGCACACTGAAAAACAACACCGTTATTAAATATCTTATAAGTTATTAAGATATAGTCAGATGCCCAAGTAAATTTAATTTTCAAGTCTGATTTTTCATTAACATAGACTTCCTGTGCTATCCAATGAATGATACTTCAATTAATTGGTACAATTACGCAGCAATAAAATCTGCATAATCTGGACCTTATTTACGGGGAACCAGACACAACTGCAACCCTTAAAACATATTCCTTGGTTCAAATACAACTGCAGCAGTTCCCATCCTGTAAAACAAAGGCCATGAATCCATTTGTGCATCAAGCTCTACCACATGTCTCCAAGCATATCAACCATGTCCAGTACAGATTCCTAACTGCTTTGGATCATATCCTTCCCAGTTCAAATAATAATAAAAGCACACGTATTGTGGATAAATGGGTTAGTGGCTGGGGGAAGGGAGGGGCTAGTAACTGAACATCTTTATACTGTCATGCTTCATAACAAACTAATTAAGCCATACTGGTGAAGCTCTACTTAAACACTGTAGAAGACATATCTACACTGACGTCTATACTACAAATTCCCCCACCTACCGAAACCTGTGAAGGAACTGGAGAAGGGAACAATCCTCAAGTGCGAACTCCTTAAGAAACAAACAGAGAAGCTCAGCTGCCAGTTTCAGATGATAAGTTATCCAAAGAAAGGACTAAAATCAGTCTCTAAGGTTCTAAGTGAGCTTTAGTAATACAAGTCTATATTTAGTAATATAAATATCTGTTAATAGAATTGTTGACATAAGTATTAATTAATATAAACCTGTAGAGACTTACAAATGCTCAAAAAGCATCTTAGGGGAATACAGATAAAGCTAAAAACTAAAAGAATATTCCAAACCTGTTGAATTTCCATGTTCTGCTAAAATATTGCAAAGTAATTAATTGTGAATTATAATATTTATATAAAGTACTACTTAACTCTTACGCCAAAAATTCCAGTTATGACCTCTTTTCTCCTCAGCATCTTTCTACATCACTGTCTTCCTCACAACAGTCGACTGAATAAATAACTGGTCTTGAGCGAGACCCTGAAGACTGTTGATTCGCTGAGGCCTCTCTCTACAATCTGACCTCATTCCAGGGCTCCAATCGCTTCCCACATCCCACAGTAAACCTCTTATCTTCCTCTGACAACAAACTCCTACCCTGACTTCCCCAGTCCCCACTGAGGACACCATCAATGCCCTTGCACCAGCATAAACGCAAAATCATCTTGAATTCTGCCTCTGTATGCCCCACATGCTCTCTGTAGCGGTCTCTGTCCAGTTCTTTTCTTCCCCTCCCAACTGCACCACCCCTGCCTGCCTCAGCCAGGTCAGACTCCCTCCTCTAAGACCTCCTAAGCGCCTTCCCTTTCTAAATGCATCCAGGTCACGTCATCAGCATCAATCTCCCAAGAGCAAGACTTCCTGAGCTCTCCCCTCCCCATGTGCCCACAGAGAACACACATACCCCAGCCTCATGCGCGCGCGCGCGCGCGCGCGCACACACACACACACACACACACACACACACACACACACACACACACACACACACACACCCCGAATAATACACACCTCAAGGCAGCAGTTGCCAACCGGTGGTCCGCGGGCCGAAAGGTTGGCGACCGCTGCTCCAGCACCAGCTGAGAAACACAAGTACTACCTAAGGCGCGGTTCAAGGCTCATCTCTCTCATGAAGTTTCCTTCAAGTCCGAGCAATCACACTTCAGGTGACATTTGGCACTGACTGTATTTCCTCTTGGAGCTAGCTGAGTTCTGAACACAGTGTGTGCCCTGTATCATGCCCTCCCCTCAGTTTCAATCAGGCTGCCAAGCTTTCAAAACTTCTGGCTCAGGGCTTCTGGTATGGAATGTGAGCCGCTGAAGAGCCTACACTGAGTGGCCTAAAAAAAGGAGAGTAGAGGTTTGGCAACTCAGGCAAAGGAAAGGAATTCTAGGGGATGGGATCCACTCCTGTGGCAGGACCTCAGTAGACAGTGGCTGCCACTAACAACTAGATGTCAAGCCACAGCACTCGTGAGATGGTTACCTATGCAAACCCTGGGGACAGGTACATGAGATTTAATTCTGCTCATCTCTCTATATGCATGTAATTTTTCATAATGAAAAGTTTTTTAAACCAGGAAGGTAACAAATGCTGTTCTAGACTAAAAACTAAGGCTTAGGTTGCTAAGGCTGGAAAAGGCGCAGGGATATTGTGAAGATGCTACTCAGAACTGTTTGAGAAGCAGTGTTAAAACATTTGGAAACTTTTGTCACAGGTACAATTCACAAAAGAGAGGAAATATGTCAAAATATGAATCAAAGTTTCTTTCATCCTAAACTTGCACAGATGAATCACACTTCAGAAAACCTAAAACCGACCTAAACTGACGTAATAAAATCTGTCTTTGCAATGTCTCTCATAAACACAGATGCAAAAATCCTGAACAAAATATTAGTAAATCTAACCCAACAATGTATAAAAAGAATTATATACCACAACCAAGTAGAGTTTACCCCAGATATGCAAGACGCATTCAATGTTTAAAAATCAGTAATGTAATCCATTTTATCAGCAGGACACAACACCCCCCCACAAAAAAAAAAAACCACACATAAACACATGCAGAAAAGGCATCTGACAAAATCCAACACTCATTCATGAATTTAAAAAAAAAAATTCCTAGAGCTAACAGGTGTAGATTACAGCAAGTTTACAGGATACAAGGTTAATATACAGAAATTAATTACCTTCCTATATACCAGCAATGGAATATGAAATTAAAAACATTAACATTAACATCCTCAAAATTTGAAACACTTAAGACTAACTCTAACAAAATATATACAAACTCCAAAACGCTAATGAAAGAAATCAAAGAACTAAAGAGACATTCCATGTTCATGGATAGGAAGACAATATTGTCAAAATCTCAGTTCTTCCCAAATTGATCAAAAGATTCATGCAATCCCAATCAAAATCCCAGCAAGTTATTTATCAACAAACTAATTCTAAAGTGTATATAGAGAAGTGTAAGACTCAGAATAGCCAACAGAGTACTGAAGAAAAAAATAAAGAGGACTGGCTACCCTGACATCAAGACTTAATATAAAGCTACTAGAGGCTCGGTGCATGAAATTCGTGCACGAGTAGGGTTCCTAGGCCTGGTTGGCAATCAGGGCCTTCCAGCTGCTGGCCAGGGCCTTCTTCCCTGGCTGCCGGCTGCTGACCAGAGCTTTCCTTCATTCCGCCCCGTCCCCTGATCAGTGGACGTCATAGCCTGTGATCAAACTCCCAGTCTCCTGGTCAAACTCCCAAGGGGACACTTTGCATATTAGCCTTTTATATATATAGAAAGTAATCAAGACTGGGATACTGATAAAAGAACAGACAAGTCAATGGGATAGAACAGAGAGCCCAGAAACAGGCTCATATACATAGAGTCAACAGATCTTGGAAAGCAGTAAAGGCAATATGATGGGGAAAAGATAGTCTTTTCAAAAAGTGGTGCTAAATTACACATGCATTAAAAAAAAAAAAAAAAGACTCTAGACACAGACCTCACACCCTTCACCAAAAAAAATCAAGCACGGCCTGGCCAGCATGGCTCAGTGGTTGAACATCAACCTATGAACCAGGAAGTCACGGTCAGGACACATGCTCAGGCTGTGGGCTCTATCCCGGATGGGGAGCGTGTGGGAGACGGCCAATCAATAATTCTCTCTCATCATTGACGTTTCTATCTCTCTCTCTTCCTCTCCCTTCCTCTCTGAATATAAGTGTGTGTGTGTGTGTGTGTATTTATATTATATATATATTAATTAAGCACATACCTAATGTAAATGCAGAACTATAAAACTCCTAGAAAATAAGAAGAAAATCTAGATAACCTTGGCTATGGCAATGTCTTTTTAAATAAAGTACCAAAGGCACAACCAATGGAAGAAATAATTGATAGGCTGGATTGGTTAAAATTAAAAAACTGCTTTGCAAAACACAGTATAAAGAATGTCAAAAAAAAGCCAGAGAATAGGAAAAAATATATGCAATATGCAAAAGACAAACCTGATAAAAGACTGTTATCCTAAGTATACAAAGAACTCTTGAAACTCAACAATAAGAAAACAAACAATCCAATTAGAACATGGGTAAAAGACCTCAGCAGATACCTCACCAATGAACATACAGTGGGGCCTTGACTTACGAGCATCCCGACTAACGAGTTTTTCAAGATACGAGTTTTTCGAGATACGAGCCGTCTCTCGGCTGATTTTTTGCTTTGAGTTGTGAGCTAAAATTCAGGTTATGAGCCAGCTTCAGATACCCCACCGCTAGTTGGCGCAGCGAACATCACAGTGAACGCCACCACATCAGCCCAGCATCACGTGTCTCACTCGTTCACTGTTGATTTGACATACGAGTAATTTGAGTTACGAGCTCCGTCTCGGAACGAATTAAACTCGTAAGTCAAGGCCCCACTGTATACAGATGGCAAGCAGTCATGAAAAAATGCTCACTATCTATGTCAGTAGGGAACTGCAAACTAAACAGCAGTGAGACACCACTCATTCCACACCGAATGGAATGACCAAAATCCAGAACCCTGACGACACCAATGCTGGCAAGGGCTGTGGAACAGGTACTCTCACTCACTGCTGGTGGGATGCAAATGGTACAGCCGTTTAGAAAGAGAGTTTGGCAGTTTCTTACAAAACTAAGCATGCTCTTTCTTACCGTAAGATCCAGCAATTGTGCATCTTGGTGTTTACCCAAAGGGGTTGAAAAATTATATCCACACAAAAGCCTGCACACACATATTTACAGCAGCTTTATCCATAATTGCCTATACTTGCAAGCAGCCAAGATGTCCTTCAGTAGGTGAATGGATAAGTAAACTGTGGTAGAGTCAAACAATTAATACAATTCAGTCCTAACAGGAAATGAGTTATCAAGCCATGAAAAGACATGGAGGAACCTTACATGCATCCTACTAAGCAAAAGAAGCCCATCTGAAATGCTTCTTACATAACTCTTATTCCAACTATATGACATTCTGGAGGAGGCAAGCTATGGAGACAAGAACGGCTGATGTGAGGACTGAGGGAAGGGTGACTAGGCAGAGCACAGAGGATCTTTAGGGTGGTGAAACTCTTCCATGTGACATGGTAACGGTGGTTACCTGTCACTATCCACCTGTCAGTGCACACCACCAAGAGCCATGGTTTTGCCTTAATGTAAACTATGGACTCTGGCGGATGAAGCTGTGCAGAGGAAGACCCATCCCTTGTAACAAATGCACCGCTCTGCTTCGAGATGCTGGTAGTGGGAGCGGTGACGCGTGTGTGGGGATGAGAGATGAGAACTCTACTTCTGCTCAATTTTGCTATGAACCGAAGCTATACAAACTTAAGTCTATTTTTTTTAAATCTGCTTCTTCTTTTTTTAAAAAAAATATATTTTATTGATTCTCCACAGAGAGGAAGGGAGAGGGACAGAAACATCGATGAGAGAGAAACATGGACCAGCCGCCCCCTGCACACCCCTCACCGGGGATGTGCCCGCAACCAAGGCACACGCCCCTGACCGGAATCGAACCCGGCACCCCCCCAGTCCGCAGGCAGACGCTCCATCCACTGAGCCAAACCGGCTAGGGCTAAGCCTGCTTCTTAACAAAGTTGTTTAGTCATTAATACACAGGAAACATTTTTTAAAATACCATCAGTTCTCAGAGAAATGATGAGGAGTTTTTAAAAGGCAGAGGAACTTTTAGTGTGAACCTAAAACTGCTCTACAAAATACCCTATTTTAAATATATTCACACCTAATATCGTAAATTTTTTTTTAAAAAAAAGGGCACTGAAAATAGCACGAAGGGTTCCCACTGGCTAAATCTGAATCAACTTGGGCACCCACATAAAAAATAACAGTAAAGGATTTTAAAGCTTTGAAAATAAAACAAAACTATGTCTACAGC